AAGAATACAGAGACAGAGAGAGAGAGAGAGCAAGAGAACCACAATAAAATGTTAAAACAACTTTTACTAGGGAAAACTCAATGTTGTGTTTCCCAAACTCATCTGAATATTTTATTATGAAAAAAAATAATAATTCAACATGAAACAGCATATGCAACCCATTTTACTGTCATATTTTGACACATTGATGATATTCAATAATCCATTCAAAGCAGCCAAAAAAGGGAAACTGTTTAGAGCTGGAGTGAGTTGTTACATCTTGATGAAAGCTTTTGAAGAAAAACATTTAGTTCCTTTCGAAAAACATGCACTGATGAATCGTTCACAATAAGACAAATGTGTATTCTGAAAGTAAATATGGTCAGTTGTGATGTCGTGTTGACTTTAAGCACAATGAAACTCAAAATCGTCCATAGAGCAGTATGGAAACAACGCTATAAAAAGTGCTTATTGCTCAGACATCTGTCCAGGCCTCATCCTCTCGGGTGGGATGTGTGTCTGCATGAGTCAACTGCAGGTATCTCAGTAGGTGGTGAAATATTAATGTTTTCTCATCTGGTTGGTTACCTGACTAGCTAATGACAATATAAACGCCCAGTCCTCCTGCCACTGCTCCTCCCGCAGAGAGAAATGCAAACCAAAGCTCTGGGAATACCAGGACTCCCACTCTTTCCAGCGAGTGTAGAACCTGGAAAACACACGCATTATATCTGTGATAAAATCCAATTACACCAATGTTAATAAACCCAACTGCAGATAAACAAGGATTACAACAATGACTAGATTTGCTTAAAGGCATACTCCACCCCAAAATGAACATTTTGTCATTAATCACTTACCCCCATGTCGTTCCAAACCCGTACAAGCTTCGTTCGTCTTCGGAACACAATTTAAGATATTTTGGATGAAAACCGGGAGGCTTGGACTGTGGGGTGGAGTATCCCTTTAAGAAAACATGAGTGGTGCAGGGTTTTTGCAGGTCTTAAGAAGGTTTTAAAATGTCTTAATTCACCCTTCCTCTAATTAAGGCCTAAAAAAAGGTCTTATATCTGAGCAGAAAGCCTGCCATTAAATGCTGCTTGCACTGCAAAAAAATTTTGTTTTGTTTTTCAATACAAATATTTAAACATCCTTAAATTAAGATGCATTTGCTTGAGATGCAAATTAAACATATGAAGTCTTATTTTCTGAGAAATTGAACAAAATGAAGTGAGTTTATGCTTAAATAAAGAACAAGTATCTGCCAATGAGGAATGAAAACTTGTTCTTTGTTCTTGTTTGAATTATAAACTTTATTTTGATCAATTTCTGATTCAAGTGATGTCTTTTTGCTTCTCAAGTAAATGTATCTTGATTTAAGTATCTTTACTTATGAAGAACATCACTTTTTTTTGCAGTGTGATCAGAAGGTGTAGTGAGTTATTTCCATGTTCTAATTGTTGGAAGCACAGCTTTTCAAGCCATATGGTTTATTTTTGTAAAATGAATGAAAAAGTAATGAGATCTTTTTGAAGTTGTATTTTCAAACTTTGAAGCATTGCTAATACAAGACATTTACATTTAGACAACACATTATGCTCCATTCAGTCTATTCCTTTAATTTCTTTTACTTGATCTTAAAAAGGTCTTAAATTTACCTTCATAAAACCAGCAGAAACCCTGTGGTGCTGCCCATGCCAAACAATACTAGGGTGTTTTGGGTAGTTAACGTGAACCAGGGTTATTACAGGTAACTAAAACCCTTAAAAAATGTATTATATAAAATAAAAATGAATAAAAAGTATACAGACATATAAAAAACGAATAAAAAAAAAGAAGACAAAAACATGCAACAAAATTCCTAAAACTTTAACCCAAAATAAAAAATAAACATGACGTGATGTAAACCCAACCTGCTAATTTTCAGTCTTACCAGTGAGAGCAGTCGTGTAAGCTGTCGTTGAGGCTTTTTCTCAGGACAGAGTCTTTGTCGTAAATTCCCCACGTGGCTTGTAACACTGAATCCAGTAGGCAATCTCCAGCGGTTCGGTTCCACAGAGCATACAGCCGGCTGTCCAGACGCGTGCCCAGCTCCAGAGACCAGTTAATGATGGGAGACTCCTCTTCCAGCTCTGAACACCACAATAAATCAGTTTCTCTTTGCACATCCAGTGATAAATTCTGTTACTGCTAGCTGCACGCTGCTCTTCAGGGATGCAACCCAAATAGACCAGATAAGGCATTTTCTAGATCAGTTGCTTCTCAACTGGTGGGTCGCGACACAAAAACAGGCTGCAAGTTTGTTCTGATACTAAATGCAAATAATAAAATTCAACTAACTATAATTGGGACAGCAAAATCAAATGTGCTTAATAATTTTTAAAAGGTGGGTCAAAATGCCTCCCATATCTTTTGATGTTGATTTCAAAGGCTGTGACCCCAATCTTGGCACAATTTTACAATTTACTTGGTAGAAGCTACTTAAATTAGATCCACCCCTATGCATTAAATACAGGTTTACCAACGTTGTGCCGGCCACAGTTTACAATCAAAACATCTATGGTCCTGAAGTAAAACTAGTTGAGGAGCTCAATTGTTTAATGTGCTGCCCATTATTTTCTGGTTTAAAGTACAAAATAAATGCTAAAAAAAGTCACTTCACCTTTTTGTACATCTCGATCCAGGACCTCATCGAACAGTTTTTCTTGAACATTTGGGGGAAGGTCTTCAATATCTGCAAAAGAAAAACAAAAATGAAAATCTCTGCAGTGAAAACCCTACTGTCTGTTAAATGGGACATATTATGGTTTCTCTTCTACGTTTACACAGTTTTCATTTCAAGGCATAGATCATGTTGTATTTCAGGTCACTTTTTACAGAAATACATTTCACGCCCTATTTTTTTTATTTGTACTTACTTTCATGAGGGTTATTATAGTTAAATAAAACCATAAAAAAGTGTATTACTTGAAATAAAATAAACTTTAACTGAAATAAAATTAAATATATATATATATTAAAATAAAATAATAATACTAACATTTTTAAAATTTCAACAGTTCTCATTTTGATTTTGTTTAAACTACTGGTATATTTAAAAAATAAAATAATAATAATACTAATTATTTAATTTCAACAGTTCTCATTTTGATTTTGTTTAACAGGATGTACAAAAATAACTAAATAAAATTTTTATAAAAACTACTGGTATATTTAAAAAAAATAATAAATAATAAAAAATGACAAACACATAACAGAAAATATAAAAACAAAACTAGTCAAAATATTAATTAAAAATATATTTGTTTTGTTTTATGTTGTCTGTGACATTTTGTCAAGGTGTATTTCAATTCATATTTCATGATGTTTTACATTAAGACATATTTAATGTGATATTCACATTACATTCTAGATGATAAAAATGAATGTATTTCATACCTTTTATGTATTAATGCTCATATTTCATTATACTTTTATTTATCTGTTATATCCCTAAATGATTCAGAACTAAATGGCAATGTTTTTGTTAACAGGAAACCTTGATTATATATATTAAGGTAAAAGTTAAAATCATTATTTTATTTGATCTTATTTGAAAGATAAGATAAGATAAGATTGTTTTAGTTAACTATATTAACCCTGGTTAAAATACCTCAGACAATCAGCCCACTCGGAATAGGTCTTTGTGGCTCGTGGCCACACATAAGATCCTGCGGCAGAAGGGAAATTTTTGTCTTTAGAAATTATGACTGATCACCTGCTGGTAATGTGAAGGTGACGAGGTCAGTGAAGAAGTAACAGGGAAACTCTCCTTTACGCCTGTGAAGTGCTGCTGCCACCTCTCTGCGGATCTGTTCTGTTAACTCAGGACACACCAGAGCCGGTATACACTTCGCCGTCTGCTGAGACACCTGAAGTACATTCATAAATATAGAATAATTTTACAATATCACATTGTAAAACGAATTCTCTCCGTTTATGCATGTAAAAGTTTGACCTCCGTGAGCAGCACCGCGAGCATGTCCTGTCTTTGGAAGCGGATGGCCAGATGCACCAAAGTAAAACCAGCGTCAAACGCGGATGGACGGTTGAGAATTCGCACCTCGTCTGCGGTCAGCTGACGTGCGATATCACCACCGGATGACTTGTACGCCTCCACAGCGGCCAGATCCCCCTCCACAACACCTGATGAAAGTGTGCGTTACATATGAGTGGGTTGACTTCCTCGCTCACAACTCTTTGAAGTTGCAGTTTAAATTTCAGATTCAATTCCTATCAGACCTATATGAGCCATAGGTATTTCCCAGAAGACAGTGACACTGCTTTAGAGATCAATGATTTCATACCCTGATGCAGGAAAGCAGAGTGCTAACAGAAGTGTGCCCTAGCAGCAGAGCCCATGAGACAAAATCTGTCACTTTGCATCAAACCATGTGCATGCAACCCGTCTCCCACCGGCTTAGTGATGAAAATAAAGGTTTTATACCAGCTGATATCAAAAGATTCAGCTTTGAATTTCACCTTCACATCACAGTAAAACATGCCAATCAAATAGTATGCCAAAGAGAGTAGATATTGCACAGAAGTCAAAAAATTATTTGTACACAAGTAACACTTCATAATTTCTGTAACACTTTATAATAAGGTTAACAAACATTAACAATACTTCTAGAGCATCAATTAATCTTTGTTAATGCTAATTTCACTACTCTCAAAAATTGTATCTGTTAACATTAATGCATTAACATAGACAATCAAAGACTACTAAATGCTGTAATGATGCATTGTTAGTTTCATGTTAGCTAATGCATTAATGTTAAAAAATCAGATCTTGTCGTAAAGTGTTACCATAATGTCAATGCACTGGATATTTAAGAAATGTGTGATATTTATTTATGTCTAAATGTAAGTATATGTGCACTACCGTTCAAAAGTTAGAAATTAATAGTTCAATAGATCAGAAGTAACCGTAAATACATTAATAATGTTACAAATGATTTAAAATAAATGCTGTTCTTTTGAACTTTCTATTCATCAAAGAATCCTGAATAAAAAGTATCATGTTTTCCACAAAAATATTAAGCAGCACAACATTTTTAACACTGAAAATAATAAGAAGAAATCACCAAATCAGCATATTAGAATGATTTCTGAAGGATCATGTGACATTGAAGACTGGAGTAATGATGCTGAAAATTCAGCTTTACATCGCAGGAATAAATTACATTTAAAAATATATTACAATAGAAAACAGTTATATAAAACTGTAATAATATTTCACAATATTACTGTTTTTACTATATTTCTGATCAAACAAATGCAGCCTTGGTGAGCAAAAGAGACTTCTTAAAAAAAAAAAAACATCTTACCAACCCCAAACTTTTGAACGGTAGTGTATGAAGCAAAACATTTCATATAAAGATGTTTGTTAGGTTTAACATGATATATAAACAATTTAAAAGTATCTGAGCATGTTCTTAGTTAATGTGAAGAACTACACTCTGCTACCGACTTCATACATCCACTAAAAATCACCAGAACACCAGCTAACTAAAAGACATTAAGCAAAACTGATGTGAAGTTAGTGAAGAGAAAAGCTCCTGCAGCATCTGAGAGCAGATATTACAGACACTCAATCTAATGCAATGCCATTTTCAAAATGCATTTTAAGTGTCCAAATACGTTTTGGGGAAACTGTATCTGACACTAATGGGGTTCATTTCTCACCAGCGCAGGCGTTCAGGAAGAGCCAGGCGCTTCTCCGCATCCTGTTCCGGATCTGTTTGAGTTTTTTAAAGTCCGCCTCCTGCTCGTTATCGCTGCCCACCGCTCCCGACGCCAGCTCGATCTTCACCTCCGCCTGTCCTTTACATGTAGGTGGAGAGAGTTTCCTCTGCCTGCCCCTGCTCACCCCCCCTCCCCCCTCTGTTCTTAGGTTATCCCATTCCTGCTCGTTCACTATCGACAGGGACATGGCACTCTCTGCCTCCGAATCCTGCTGAGGCGCCTCGGGCGAACTGCTGGGTTTAGGGTGGTCGCAAACCACACACCTCAAACTCTTTGGCCAGTTCTCATAGGTGCAAGCCGAGCACGGCCATCGCTGCGCGTGCATGTTGAGCCGATTCCGGTCGTTATACTCCTCGCATGGGTCCGAGGTGACCGGGGATGGTCTGGACCCTGAGTCCGATGTCTGTGGGGCTTCAGACGGACTGAGCGGGCCGTGTTGGGAGCCCTGCTGCCTCTGACTGAGGCACTGCGTGCAGCGGATTGCGCGGGGCCAGTTCAGATAGGTGCACATGTGACAGGACCATTTGCTGCTGGTCTCTGGCAACTCATCGGCGAGCCGGACCCGAGGCCTGGCGCTAGAGTCAGGGCAGATGAGCTGGGTGGTGCACAGTTGCGGGTCCAGGCTGGAGCTGCTCTTGAAGGGTTCCTCGGTGATGATGGGCGCGTTGTGCCTTTGGGCCCGACACATGGTGCATTTGATGGCGGACGGCCAGTTTTCGTAGGTGCAGTACTCGCAGCTCCACTTCAAGCCAAAATCTGTCATCCTCGCTCACGCCGGTCACCGCAGCTGATGGCCCCCCCTCCCTCCCGCCGGTCCTCCGTTCTTCACCTACTTTCACTCGCTCACGCTCACAGCACCTCCAGTTTCTCCTGCAATAGTCACAGACAGGCAAAGTTTAGTTTGACAATAGAAATGATGTTGATATACAGTGGGATCCAAGTCTCAGAGTGAAATTACTCTAAACTATTATCATTTTTCATTACAAATATATAAAAATAAATGTAATAAGTTTAAAAAAAATAGAATTTTGGAATCAATAAGTATTTTTTTTTTTAAAGAAATTCACAATGTTATCCAGCAAGGATGCATTAAACTGATCAAAAGTGACAGTGAATACTTTTACATTGTTAAAAAAAAAAATTATATTTTCACAAAAACAGATTAGCATATGATCAATATAATGCCAATCTAAAAAAAAGTGTGCGTGTGTGTGTATATATATTTTTTAAAGAAATTAATACTTTTATTCAGGAAGGACATATTAAATTGATCAAAAGTGACAGTAAAGACATGTCATGTTCCAAAAATATATATTTTAAATAAATGGTGTTTTTCTTTCTAATCAGTACTAATAAAACTGTATCAGGGTTTCCAGAAAAATATTAAGCAACACAACTGTTTTCAACAATGATAATAAGAAATGTTTCTTGGGCAGCAAATCAGCATATTAGAATGATTTCTGAAGGATCATGTGACACTGAAGACTGGTGTAATGATGCTGAAAATTCAGCTTTAAATCACAGAAATAAATTGCATTTATATTCACATAGAAAACAGTCATTTTATATTCTAATAATATTTCACAATACTACTCTTTTTACTTTAATCGTACAGACCCCAAACTTTAACTTAAAACATTGATTGAATTTTAGAACTCTATTTGGCTCGTCCCCAATTGCTAAAATTTGATTTAATCCACAAACTGAGGAAAAACCTGATGATTCATGTAATGCAGCAATGTTTGAGACTGTTCCAAAGGCATCTTGTGTTTCAATGGACCTTTTGTACAAAGGAGTTACATGGTCGATGTCACAAATTTGCTTACATTTGATTAGTGACCTAGAAATACTGCAGGATATTTTTACATTTACCATTTTCATTGGTATAATTGTTGAAATCCCAAATTCCAGATTTTCAGTGTTGTCCTACATTTTTGGACCCCACTGTAATACAGTTGCTTACAATTTAATACAATAATTTTTCTGAAGTAACACATAAATATAGTATATGAATATGGTGATCTATTAAGTGCCATGGTAAATATAAAAATATCATTGCATTACCATCTGATACCACTGTATTAGTTTCCTTTTTTTGGTTGACTTTGACTATTATAAGTTAGCTTGATTAAAATGATGACAAAAAGCTTAAGGATGCATAGGGTTGACAAAAATAAACAACATTTAAATCAGCATAAATCATAATGTGTGAACGACCTTAATCTTTCCACTTGCTTTTGTAATAAAAAAGCACAATACATTAATTCTGAAAGGCTTTTTAAGCCAGAAGTTGTTCAGGACTCTGGATTATTCCTGACAGGTGGGCAACGACAGAGATGAATCCAGCTCACTGGGGCAAACGGTCACATCCTTTGACCTACATTCCTACACTCTCATTTGGTTATTGGACTAGATTTTGGTTATTAACATTTGTTTAAAAAAAAGAGATGATTTTTTCACGATGGCCTAGATTTCCCTGACTATAGTTGTAACTTTGTAAAGTGATATTATGAAGACGGTAATAGTGTGGTACTGAATGATTCAAATAAATGCAGTCATGATGAACAGAAGATACTTCTTTAAAACACATTAAAAATCTTACTGATCCCAAACTTTTGAACTGCAGTGTGTGTGTGTGTGTGTGTGTGTATTATATATATATAATTATATATAATATTATATATACATATATGGAATAAAACAATCAAGCAAGCCAGTTTCGGAACACAAATAAATAACTGCCATACTTTTTATATTTCACACAAATTAAACTTTCAAAATGTACGGCAATATAGGTTTTGCCTTATGAAAGTAGGTTAAATGTTTTGAAGGGTCATAATCTGTCAGATTAGATAGTGAGCTGTCAAACTGCTGGACGCGTCTCTGACAAAGCAAAAATGTGATTTAGTTAACGTTATCTCGGTAGGTTTTGACACATACCTCTTCTTACACGACTGGAAACCTGGCTTTAACGGTGAGGGGAGGGAGTTTTTCTATAACGGGCGCTGGAAATGGAATGTGTAGAAGCATTTCCGCCGCTACAGTGTAGAAAGTTCAAATGTATCCAGCACAAACTCTGCGCTGATACACTGTAAACACTCTCGGCTCGCTTCGGAATTCCACACCAAGGTGTCGATTTTACCCGAACTACAACAACACCATAAAAGTGCTCCGGTTTGTATCTGCACTGTAAATAAACACATACAGCTACTTCAGCTCAAGACCGTGGACTGCCCACTGACATTTTCACTTCCTTAAAATACAAATAAATATAAAATAAATACATAAATAAATATTTTCTAAAAAAAAAATATACGCGAGCATTTTAGGAAACTCAAATAAGGTGCATTAATTTGCCCTGTTGCATATACTGTTACAGTGATCCCCCCACCCCCCACAGAAATCTCAAGGCCCCTACCTGTCTTTGCCCTCCACACTTCAGTTTGCAAACACTACCGTTCCCGAGTTCGCCCTTCTGCAAACCGAACGTCTGTCCTACCGAAACCCAATCCGATCCGGGTCCAAATCCAGCTCAGCACCGAAAATCTACCGCAACAGCAGAGCGATTCTGCGGCCGAACTCCCATGTTATTTCTCCCCCTTCCTCTGAAACCCCAAGCACCACCGCGATCTTCGGATCAAAGCGGGTTTTAGAGGGTTTTAAACACCGGAATTCCCATTTCTGTTGCCGATGTGACTGGCTCTAATGGCGGCGGCACTGGAGCGGGGGGTAAACCAAAATAAACCTACTCCGGAGATACTGGTAGGAGGGATATCACCTGGATCAGCGGGCACATATGATTGGCTCTCGCTCCGTAAACACCGTGGAAACCAATGAGGGCGCATTTCTTTCGTTAAAGGGCTTCATGGCATACTTCCTTCACAAGCAATAACAATCAGGAAACCGTAGCTCTCGGTCCGCCATGTTGGCTCTAAGAATATCAGGGATGGAATATTAGGTTTCACTCTGGAGTGGAGCCAAAATGGAGTGCGTTTCGTGTGTTCGGCTCCACTGCCAAGGCTAGGGAGATGATGTCATCGTTTCAGAAACATCTACCGCAGCATCATCTGCAGTGACATAAGGGCAGTTTTTCAATGAAAACAAAAATAAAAGAGTTGACATTATAGCTCCAGGGCCGTTAGATTGTTCTGCGTGTATTATTTCAAAACAATAAATGAAAGGCCCAGTGGGTGATTTTAGCTGAACAGTTACTTTCCTTTACTAATTTCTTTAGTAGACTCTTTTATTTTTTATTTCTTTAATCAATGTATTCGTTTTTTGAAGTGAAGACTGCATTAGTTTTAAAATAAATAAATTGATTAATAAAAAAAAATGTAATATCTTCATACATTTTTAATATCTGAGTATCTTTGTCCATAACATTTCTTTAGTGAATATTTAGTCTATTTTTGTCCATAACATTTCTTTAGTAAACACTTCAGTCCCTTATAATTTAGGGTTAGGTTAGTCATGATCAGTGAAACTACATCCTTTTGTCAGCTCAGTCATTCTTGAGAAGTGGGACAAAACGGTGCAAAATTGAAAAAATCAAACCTTGTACTATCAAAAGTGTTGCTTTTCATAAAACAAGCTCCTTTTCATCATTAAAAAAAAAAACATTTTTATCCATTTTATTGCATATGAATGATTGAACCCTTCTCTGTGGACACACTGTTTTAGATGTAGTGAGAGGACATTAAGAAACATAGATTTGGTATAATAATGAGAAAATTAAATTGAAGGTGATAAGTGCGTTAAATACATTCTATTATTAATCCCTCATGACATTTAAAATTGAAAATATTTGTATTTTTAAACCTAATAGCAGTTACCCTTGCTGGACCTGTTTTGTCCCATGTCTCAAGAATGACTTAGCTGATTGATTATATCTTGTATCGATCGATTAAGCAGAACAGATGAATGAATATGTTTAGCGCAACTTTGTCGCCATCCAGTGGTTTCATAAACAAATGCAACATGATGAGACACTTTAGTTTGACGAGACACTTTACTTTTTCTGTGAAGAATTTTGTATTCTGAACATTTTACTCTAAAATAAAAATTCCATCTCAGAATCAAAAGTAAAAAAATACATCTATTATATTTTTATTCATATTACACTTTATTATATATTATGTATAAATGTTTATTTACACATGAATGTACAGTAAAGCTATATTATTATATATGATATTTGCATTGTAACATTATTTACGACTTGTAAATGTTAAACATATTCTTAAAATTTTGATAAAAGTAATGATTTACATTTTAAACGTATATGTCGTTATTTACTGATAATCTTCCTCTCTCAAATAACATCAGTCACATCATGACGCCTCACGTTCTCGAAACCAAGGGCATTTGACAAACGATACTTTACAGGAAAGCCAGACTACAAGACTTTCTCACTGGTTTATCGACTACCGTTGCGTTCTCATATTTTGCTTTGCTTTCAATGCAGACGAAAAGTCACGTGAAACTAGGCAGTGCCTCCACGTCGCTCTGATTGGCTGATTACACGGTCGGCGCGATAAAGGCCGCCCATAACGTTTGTTGTCAGGTGAGTCTCTCGCAGTGGGCTTGCCTGACGTGGTAAAGATGGTTGTAGTGTTTAAGAAGTTAACAATGTATTCACTCTCACATCCTGTCTGTTGGTCATGTCCGAATCAAAATGAGTTTTGAATGAGTCACGAAATGACCTGTGAATGAGCCAGTTGTAAACGAGTAAATTTAGGCTGCACCTGCCACCATCAATACTCACCTGCGGTGGCGTAAGATTTGGTGTCTAATGATGCGAAAACAAGGTGACTAATAATAATAATACAAAGGTTAATGTCAATAAATAATAAAAAATGCAAAATATTCTTGTTACTGTATTGTTTTGGTTATTTTATTTAGTGTTGAAATGTCACATGTTATGCATAAATTTGGTGATATTTTGATAGGCTATAAAACAATAATATAAAACAACAAATAATATTAATAGCAATATTAAATATTATTTTCCTATTTATTGAGTAAAGTGCTGTTCCATGTGCCTTTAACTGTTCAAATATTGAATATTATCATACCCTCTACCATGGTTCTACACAGTAGTTTTTGTAAAGAGAGAGAGAGAGAAAAAAAGTCTGTTTTGAGAGAGACCAGAGGAAATAAGTGAGATTTTAATATTTTCAAGAAAACAATTCTATATATTAAATGACTTGGTTACAATATACAAAATCTGTGTATGTTCCTGCAAAAGGACGCCCCTCTCTCTGATGTAGTGCATTTGCATTCACAGTTCTGCTTCCTCTCTCATCTGTAGCCACACCCACCGGGGGCCCCACAGAGAGCACCACCCCTCTCCAGCCAATGGCAGCGCAGCACGGCCACTCCATCACTCCTCAGTTTCCAAGGTAACTGGGCTGCTCTCCTGAAAGGCGCTACATCATCAGCATCCGTCCAGCGAGGACTGCTCGAGGCAGGCAGCCCTGCAGTGGATCGGATAGCAGACACCTCCCTCACACGCCGCACTGGATGGAAAAATGGAGTAGATAGTGTTATGGTGAGTACCCGGCTTCTGTCTTCTGCTGCTATGGGCTGATGCTTTCTTATTTATTTTATTAAAAGCAGGGGCCATTTGAACATGGATAAGATATGATGCTAGAAAGAGATTTTACTCCATCTGAAGGCAAATTGTGGAGAGAGACAGCATTGTTGAAGTGGCCTGCATAGGAAGGACCTGACGCATGCACAAATACTATCCACAAGGGGGGCCAAACATAC